GAATCGGGGAAGAAAACATTTTGGATGTTGTTGCTGATCCTAGTACTGCTAGTACTGTTGACATAAGAAGATATTTCGGAATGTTCAAAAGTACGGCATGAACAGCAATTGTATTGTCATTGTACCGTCATTGTATTGATGCTGCGTTTTTAGGAAAAATACCTTTGTAATAATCTTTGTTATTGGTGGGTTTTGGTTAATGGTTATATTCAAAAGAACTTTCAATTAATTAACGTAAATGTTTATTGTAACGTTATGACGACGTTGCAGTGTCATATCGTACTCTCTTATTACAATTATTACTCTATTCTTATAGTAAACTTACTGCTAACAACAAACCTTGTCATGTTTGTTGTACTAACCTTAATAGCCTTATTACTCCTAACCTACTTAATATTAATAACATTTATTGAACTTAACAATTAGTCATACCTTATACCTTTTACTAATGACCATTAGTTTGAAAAATGCTCATCTTTGGACTGAACAAGATCCACTCTTTATTATCCGTTGAATAATAATTTGACAAAAAGACTTTAATTAGATTTGTTTTCATACGATTAATGACAGTATTTCAAAAACGAGGTTGTTCTTTTTTGATCTTTTTGTGTCAAACGTAAATATTAATATCTAGAGAAAATATCTCTGTCTTTTTCAACAATGTTTTCCAATTGTATTAAGAAGGTGGGAAAATGTTGCTAAGGGGCCAATCAAATGGTGGTCAAAAGAATTACGCCAAATGAAACATAGTTTAGAAGCATTACGGGTTATTAATCAAGCTAAGAAAGATCAACCCACATTAGACATATACAAATGATACAAGGAAGAATACCTAAGAAAAATAAAAGATACCAAAAGATTCCACATTACCAAGGAGATTAATGAGTCTGATAATAAACAGAATGCAGTATAGAAAGTAATAAAAAGAGAAACATCAGAGTAGAACGACTTCTTTATCAGCATCGGTGAGCATACATCAGCAATGATTCCTCAGGCGAGTTGTGTAACTAAAAAAGAAGTAATAAAGAGAAGTGGATAGTTCATAAAATGAAAAATAAAGCAACCCGATGCGTATGGTTTTTCCGTGAAAATATTGAAAATTGTTATACCATGTATAGCTGATACTGTTTCCATGATGATTAATAACACTTTTTCAGATGGAAATTTTCCTGACCTATTATTAGACACTTTTGATAAAAACCTCAGTAAGGCGTTGGATACAGTTGACCACAAGATACTGTTGGGAAAGTTAAGCTACTATGGCATAAGAGGCGTTACTAATAAAATAATGGAATCCTATCTAACAGATCGTACACAATATACTGACAATGAGTGAAACAACGAAAGATCCGGTAAAAGCGCGGTACATGTGGGTGTTCCGCAGGGTTCAGTACTTGGTGCTTTGCTATACATTATATACATCAACGATTTAGCAAAAAACGTACAGGCAGCAGTTACACTACAATATGTTGATGACACATCATTTTTAAATTACAATATTACAGAAGAATATCTACACAGAAAAACTGTAATCTCAATGCAAGACGCAGAAATTTGGTTTAATAGCAATAAAGTCATGCTAAATAGAAAGAAAACAGAGATTATAAGGTTTTGTACGCAACTTGATAGGGAAAGAGAAACCGTAAAATGTCTGGAAATTGTATTAGATAATACCCTTACCTTTCAAAACCATATCCAGTAATAGATTAAGTTCAATAATTTACACTATCAGGGTATTAAATAAAACAGCAATGTATGAAGCGGCTCGCCAAGCTTATTATTCACTATTTCACAGAGCTAAATTGCTAAAAATCGCTAAATTGTATTATTGTACACTATTATATGTATGTACAGAATGTGACGAGCCGTATATTTCTTGTATGAATTAATTAGGCAGTGTTATTAACTTTTTTTAGCTTTGTCAAATTAAATCAAGCTGTCCAATCGATTAATATCATTTTGACACACACCAACAAGCTTTTTCAATTTCCTATTATCTTTGAAACACTTTCAAAAAACATCAAAATTAATTTTTAAAATCCTCCTTAATTAATTTCTCCTCCTTGTGATGTTTCTAATCAACTAGAACCGTTTTGATTAGCTTTTGCCATANAAATAACTTTTAGTTTTTGAGAAAACAATATTTGAAGTTTTGATCAAATTTTCGATGTTCCAATTTTTATCGATAATTTTCAAAATTCGTTATAAAATTAATTTCTTGAAGGATCCTTGCGAAAATATCACCAATTATGAATTAAAGTATTCTGTTTTTAATGCAAAAAGCTGTTTTGAAAAATCACTTTCAGTTCTTGAGAAATAAATTTTTGAAGTAATCGACAATTTTTTCGAATTTTGCAATTGTCGCCGATTAATTTTTAAAAATTCGTATAAAATCGATTTCTTGGAATATGAGTATGAAAATTTCTCAAAATATTAATAAAAGTGTCAGCAAGGCGAAATACTGAGTATATGGGTTGTTATGAACAAAAACTGGAAATAGAACAAGCAAAATAAAGTCTAATCCTCTTCAGTTTTCTGATCTAGTTCATATTATTAAGAATTTGGCTTCTATATCATGGAAACCATTATAGATGGCTTCGCTAATGCCTGACTAATTATTTCTGCAATACCAAGGGCCTTGAGAATGCTCCTTTATAATTTATCTTGGTACCGTTGTACTACTTCTAAATTGCTCTTAATCCCATAGCTGGCCCATACAGCTATACAGGGTATTTCTGTAAGTCGTGGCATAATTTTAGTCACAAATATTAGTGTAAAAATGATGTCGATACCTATAAAAATTTTTTTGTCTAAACACAAAAATGGCTAAGGTGGGCCTTCAAAGTCCTACTAACGCAGCGGCTAGACGATATTGCAAAAAATCTCCCAAGTGCAGATAACCTGATAAAAAACATTTCTAAAAGTATATAAAAACGGGAATCAGAGAAGAAAACATTTTGGATGTTGTTGTTGGTCCTAGTACTGCTAGTACTGTTGACATAAGAAGATATTTCGGAATATTCAAAAGTACGACATGAACAGCAATTGTATCCATACCACTTGTCGACAGTGCAAGAATTAAATATTGCTGATCTGTTGTGAGTACACTTTTGCCATATTATGATGGAAAAATGTAACATTACATTGTTTGAAAAATTTTCATTCTAAGACAAATCTTTGTAAGACAAATCATATTGAAAATATTTAAGCAAGTTACTTAACTTTGAAGGCCCATATCTTAGCAATTCTTATTGCTGGTGACTATAACATCAATTTCATGAAAACTATTACAATACAAACTGAATTTGAAGAGTTATGTGCTTTTTTTGGGTATCGTGTGCTAATCAGAGAGGCTTCCAGAGTTACATTTAACACAAAATCATGTATAGATAACATAATAACTAACACACAGGGCGATACTCAGCATGTTAGAACAATTAACCTAGATTGATTTCAATCGTAGTAGTCCCCAAAGGCAAAGATAAATATTTAGAGAAAATATTTCTGTCCTTGAAGGGTTGCCGTCCGATTTTAACAAATTGGTGGGAAAATGTTGCTAAAGGGCCAACCAAATGGTGGTCAAAGGAATTACACCAAATGAAACATACTTTTGAAGCACTAGGGGTTATTAATCAGGTTAAGAAAGATCAACTATCACGTACACAAGATACTGTTGGGAAAGTTAAGCTACTATGGCATAAGAGGCGTTACTAATAAAGTGAGTAATAAATGAATAAAGTGAAACAATGCCTCATATGAGTGTTCCTCAGGGTTCAGTGCTTGGTCCTTTGCTATACATTATATATACCAACGATACACCACGATATGTTGATGACACATAATTTTTGAATTACAATATTACAGAAGAATATCTACACAGAAAAACTTTGAACAGAAATTTGGTTTAATAACAATAAAGTAATGTTAAATAGAGAGAAAACACAGATTATGATGTTTTGTACGCAACTTGAAGAGGAACGAGAAACCGTAACATTTCTGGAAATTGTATTAGATAATACCCTTACCTTTCAAAACCATGTCCAGTAATAGATTAAGTTTAATAGTCTCCACTATCAGGGTATTAAATAGAACAGAAATGTATGAAGCGGCTCGCCAAGCTTATTATTCACTATTTCACAGAGCTAAATTGCTAAAAATCGCTAAATTGTATTATTGTACACTATTATAAGTATGTACAGAGAATTTTTTTTAGCTTTGTCAAATTAAATCAAGGTGTCCAATCGATTAATATCATTTTGACACACACCAACAAGCTTTTTCAATTTCCTATTATCTTTGAAACACTTTCAAAAAACATCAAAATTAAGTTTTAAAATCCTCCTTAATTAATTTCTCCTCCTGGTGATGTTTTTAAACAACTAGAACCGTTTTGATTTACACCAATTAGCTTTTCCCATATTCTACCTCTTTGAATTTTCTGGATAATATCCCCATTAATATTATTAACTTTTTTTTTGGCTCTCTCTAATGAAGTATAGGTGTTACTAATCATTTAATGTTATTTTGACACATACCAATAAGCTTTTTCTATTCCTTGACACCTTCTTCAGCACAAAATAAAGCCTAATTATACTTTGTAGTAACACATTAATGTAATATTAAAAAAAAATGTAATATATTAAAGCTTGATGATTATGAAATGATTTGAAATCTTCACAGCATAAAATGAATTGCTACTAAATAGAAATTAGATCGCTATAATTTATTGTCCATTTGAAAATTTATAGCCTCGACAATAACCGTGCCAGCCTACGGGCGTAGAAATGAAACTGCCGGAAGGTCAATTATGCCCAATAAAGCGTGAAATGAACCGGTTTAATGCATTTTGGATGTAATATCATGGAAATAGTAATACTCTAAAAACGTTATTAGTGGAAAATATACTTTTATTAATACTATCACATCTCTCTTAATTCACTAAATTACAATAAATTATCTTATTTACAATTCTCTTGGTCATAAAAGTTAATTAAAAAAAATACATTTATAAATTCAAATTAATGTTTAATTTGTCATCTTCAATATGGGTCACGTCGATATCATCATCTTCTTGGCACGACGTCGATTTTTTCGACGAACAAGTTCTCAGGCAGCAACATTTTTGTTGTTGGCTTTTTGAATTCGGCAAATCTTCCTTTTTGTATTTAACCCGTCGATTTTGAAACCAAATTTTCACTTGCTTCTCGCTCAATTGCAAACACGTCGCTATTTCGATTCTTCTTAATCTCGACAAATACATATTCGCAGAAAATTCTCGTTCTAATTCTAATAGTTGCGTACTGGTAAAAGCTGTTCTTATTCGTTTACTTGATTCCTTCTCATCGCTGCTTTTTGGTGTAGGTGGTGGTGTTGGACTTGATTCTCTACTCGTTGATGGTGAATTTTTTAATGTTGGTGATGTAGATAAACTAATCCTTTTCGAAGCTGGTGAGATATCCTCGTAATTTGGTCGTTTTACTCCTAACATGTTTTGTAACCCATTTTGTAGTCCATTTTGTAATCCATTTTGTAATCCATTTTGTAATCCATTTTGTAATAAAGGTAATGAAGCTATTGGTCTTATTGGATTATTTGGTAAAAATCCGATTTGTTGGTGTTGATGTTGTCTTTGTTGTTGTTGTGCCAAACTTAATGAAAATAAATAACTGCTGATGTAACTTTGTGGGTATAACATAGGTCTAGTTTCTTGTAAATAACGTTCTTTGGGGTTGTGATTATTAATGAGGGAATCAACCAGGAAAGATCGGGACATGTTTCTTTAAATTTCACTTAAACACACGCAACTTTAAGGTACTCAACGCTGACTGCGAATGATTCTATGATGGTTGGTGTGTTTATATTCCAAAAGGGGCCCCCTACCCTAAGAAGGGACACGAGGGTTGGGTTGGTTAGGGTTTTTAGGGCGGAGTTATCGGGGTATTGTTAAAACGGAAGAAATTGAGGAGGGGTTTTTGAACAGATATGTTTAAAATTTGCACTCGAGTTGTTCTTAATGGCCCCCATTTCGATGATTATGCACACGAAGAATAGAATACAAAAAAAACATATTTTGATTTGATTCTGTTTATTCGCACCACCGCAATCGTGGCATGGTTTCTTTGTATAACGGTTTTATTTATATTTTTATTTCTTTTTCCTTTCACTTTTTACTATGAAGTGTTTTAATTTAATTAATTTAGTTATTAAAAAAGAAATGACAGAATCTGTCAATTTTGACAGATAACAATTACGTTGGTGCTTATAAATAAAGAAATACGAAAAATTAATGTAAAATTTATCGCATTCTTAACGTAATTATTAATTGTTATTACCAAAATGATATTTTAATTAATTAAATTAATTAATTATAAAAATATTCAAAGATAACCAACGTGAAGTTAGCCCGTACATCCAACTACATTGACATTAATGCATAAAACGTAAACATAACTTAACCTCAAAAAAAAAAAACTTAGTTCATCTCGTTTATCTGATCGCTTTGTAATTTTAAGGTAAGTCTTTTATATTACCTTTTAAATAATCCTTTTTAAATGTTCTCTTGGACTCTTAAATCTTCTTTCAATTGGGCTCCATTGAATCGCTTTTTTCGGGATTCTTCCTGAACCCAATCTTTGAACGTCATTGAACGTAGCCGTTGAGAGGTTTTTTTTTTCTTTATGTTATTATGAAGTGTTTTAATTAAATTATTGCTAAAAAACGGTTTAATTAAAACGATTTAAAAATGACAGAATCATTTTTGACAGATAACAATTACATTGGTGTTTATAAATAAAGAAATACGAAAAATTAATGTAAAATTTATCACATTTTGAAGGTAATTATTAATTTTTATTATCAAAATGATATTTTATTTAATTAAATTCATTAATTACACAAATACTCAAAGATAACCACCGTGAAGTTAGCCCTTACATCCAACTACTTAGTATATTAACGAAGATCGCGTACGTTTTTGTATTGAAATAAATGAATCGCGTATAAAACGTAAACATAACTTAACCTCAAATGTAAAAAAGCGTTTAGTTTATCTTCTTGCTGTGTAATTTTAAGGTAAGTCTTTTAATTTAATCTTTATTATCGTTTAAATAATCGTTTTCGTAAAAATGTTTACTCCAATTTTCGTGGAAATCCTTTTTTTTAGGAAAATGAAAAAAAGTTAACCTCAAAATTTTTATTTTACCTATCGATTCACTTTTATATACAGGGTGAGTCAGAAAGAATGGGAAATCCGAATACTAGAGACACTACACATCAAAATATGATGATTTAATCCAACATTTCTTATACAAATGTCGGTGGTTTTCGAAGTACAGGTAGATACATACATAGTACTTATTTGTTAAAATAAGCCATAACTATTTTGTCAGTTGAGTTATGGTGAATTAGACCGTGTTATGCATCACTTGACTCTCTAAAAATATAAGACTTCTCAGAATAGACACTATTTTTATCACAGAACATTGATGACAGCCATCACAAGCGCAAAATCCGCTTATACAGGTGTTTCTGTAAGTTGTGGCATAAATTTAATCACAAATACTAGAGTCAAATTGTTTCGTGTAAAAATGTTTAAAAATTATCTATAGTTTGATTTAGTACTTTTCAACTGGTTTCTATTTTAGTTAGTTTCGGCGCTTGGCCATCTTCAGAGACTCTACAAATAGATTAACATCCCTCATCCTATCCATTTTACAAACAAGTTTCTTCATATTTCCTTCTTTGTTAAAAAAGATCGCATATCAAAGTCGAAATCAGATTATTAGTTACTAATTTATTAAGGAGGGATTAAGGAAAGTTTGGAGAATTAATCTTAATTTAATTAATGAAAGAAACTAGAATTCTGTTTGTCGAAGGTTAAATCAAATCGACGTTTTGAGGATATGTACGACTCAACGCAATTTAAAAGGTCCATATTACATGACGCTGGACGAGGCAAAACCAGAAAGGCGGTGTAAAAGCAAACGGTTCATAACTAAAGTTATGTTTATGGCTGCAGTGGCCATACCACGCTATGATAATGCTAAAAACAGTATTTCAACGGCAAAATAGAACTCTGGCCTTTTCTTTTTAAAGAACCTGCAAAAAGAAACAGCAAGAACCGGGTAAGAAGTGACCAAAAACATAACGCAACAGAAAGCAGAAAGATGATTATCGATAACGTTGTACCAGTCATTAGATCCAAGTTGATTGATTCCAAATTTATGATAATGGATCAAGATAACATAATTCATAAGCAATACCACCAAAGTTGTCTCAATTTCTTATACACAAGCCAGGAAATTCTACAATATCAAAATTGACCATCATTTACATTAAATTCTATTATGACTAAAAAAAACTAAAGGTGATAGAGAAAAACCTTTCCTAAAAAAATTGATGATAATGAATCAAGATAACATAATCCATAGTCAATACCACCATAGATATCACCATTTCTTAGGCTCAAGCCAGGAATTATCAAAATTGACAATCATCTGCGTTAAATTCTGTTATAAGTAGAAAATTAAAGGTGATAGAGAAAAACGTTTCCCATAAAAATTAATGATAATGAATCAAGATAACATAATCCATAGTCAGTGCCACCATAGATATCACCATTTCTTAGGTTCAAGCC